ATGCACAAAAAATATGACAACAATAGCTCATAATTATTCTGTTTTGATGAACTTCTATAAAGATAGAGTTGCTTTGTGATCACTCAATCAGTATAGAATAAGTTGTTGCATAAGACAAAACTAGAAAAAGTAAGTTTGCAATGTCTAAAATTTCTATATATATATATATTTATTACACAGGCATGACACATTACCAGCCATAGCCGTAACCAGCCTACCTTTACAAATAATAGAAATGTGAAAGATTGTTTTTTTTTAATTAATTTTATACGATACTGACGAGTACGGTACGAGACGTACAATATTGTACGAGAGAGATATTGGCTAATTCTTTCCATTGATATCACGGGCGAAGACATAGGTAAGTTAATTATATGGTACATATATATACACATATACTAATATATATGTAATTCATGTCATATAATCCAAGACAGTTATTCATGTCACTGAGACGCGCGGTACTTCAGTGTTTCTGTGTTTTCATGGTTGTATCTACTGTAGATCCTGTCTTACAGGAGTTGCAGCGGTTTTGGGAGGTTGTGGCCAGCTTGTCCCATAAAAAATATATGTAATATGTATAGTAATGATCATGACAACTATTGTAAAACACAGCGTGACCCCTTAATGATTAGTCCTCATGTACATAATGTATGATTGTCAGTAATGTACCTATTTACTGAGTAATCTGGATCTCTACGCAGATAGCTATGTTAATAAGGTCGTAATAGGTGCTGTAATTGCATCCTATGCCTCATACCTGGTTACAGAACAAAGACTGATTAGTTCGCTCGTCATGTGATGTGTGTCTTAGAGTTCCTTATGAAGAAGATTTCTATTTAAATTACTAATTAAGTAAGTAAGTATCGACAGTGGAGTGCTTGTAAAGGAAACCATTTTTCAGTCAGTTTATTTCAAGCGTAGTACTGTAGCAGTAGGTGCTAAAAGTAATTGGAAGTTTTACCTAATGTTTGATTTATAGCAGACGAAAATTGTCTGCCCCTTTGGCAAGAAAAGAAATGATTAAAAGATCTGATAATATAGAACTAGCTCAGGACTGTCAATGAGCTAAATATTGATATGAAAAGATCAATCAAGTTACAAACATATGTAACTTTATGTATCTGAGAACTACATACATAAACTTCCATGAATTTGTTTTAATACCAAACCATTGGCTGATCGTGAAGCCTGATGAATATCATTACAATCATTTAAGCTAATAAGTGTCGCTCCAGACATTAGAAGGCTATAGTTATAGTTTCGAATAGCCTGCACCTCGTAGAATGTGTTCGCAGAACATTAATATTAAACGTGACATCCATACCGTTATATTGAATAGAAATTATAGCGCGCTACTCGGTAGTAAGTGTATAGAATAGTTAGTAGCAGGAATATTAATACAAGGACTGGTTGAATCACACTTTTTCTTTACTTCCCTTTGGCTTTGTCATCGTCAGACAGTATAAAAGAAGAAACCAATACAAGAAAACTGTTGCTTCTGTACGCATAAAGTCTGTATACAAAAATATATTCTGCATGATACCTGTACCTAAGAATATATATCAGTATATAAGTATATGACGATGATATAAACAATGCAGAGTAAACATCTGTAATCCCGTATAGTTTTGATTTTCAGATCAAGAGACAGAAAATTAACGGAATCATCTGGTTAGGTTTTAGGAAGAATACATATAAAACTTTCTTATTGAAGTTTTAATTGATATTAACATAACAATCCTTTGTGTTATTTATAACGCAGAAAATGGATGTGAACTATTAGTACACAATTTTACATAGAAACAAAACACGCTAGTGGAACCGAGAGGCAGCTCAACCATGTGCGCCTGAATTCTAGTTCATAGATAAGATAGTACAAAAATAATGTGGGCGGTACGGGAAAATCATAGCACTAAAGTTATGAGGTGTAGAGTTATTGAATAATAAAAACTCTATTATTAACCATTCTGCACCCAATAAATAGCAACGAACCTTGAATATTTCACTATTAAGTTTCAATTTTACTACCAATATAATTCTTCATCAAGTAATCACACAATCGGAATGCAACTATTTGTTCAATGCAAGAAACTCAATTAGCGATGTATGTAATTTCAATTACCTTTTTTATTGAAACTACCTACAAATTCCTTGAAGCCATGATCCAAAGAATGCTCTCATAAAGATGCAATGATATTTACAAGTTTGCGTTTTGAAAAAAAAATAATTATCTGTCAATTAATTACTGTTTGATGGATCTACTCATAAATATTTCAATTGAACAAGTTTTAACGTTTTGCCATAAAGGATCGTGTTTAATTGAACATGTACTTTATTAAGGCTACAGAAGGTTTTAAATTCTCGGCCTAAATTATGAAGAACCGGCTCTGCAGGACAAGATCTGATAGCAAATAATTGCTAAAGATAAGGTCTACACATTGTTCCAAGTTCCCACCTGCACTATTTATCACTCTTGTCAAGATAAAGATTTAACAGCCAAGTTTTTGCAACGATTATATCGGTATTAAATTAATATCTTATATCCTACGACAGTATTTGCATAGTTCATTACGAATTTACGAAACAAAACAAGAATTTGAATCGTAAATCATTTTGCAATCGATGGAAATATTCCTGAGATATTTCACTCTCTTGACGTATTTATGACAAAAACCCGGTTTTTCGATGTTAGTGACTTCATTTTAAAAATGCTTTTAGAGTTCACACGAATCACAATCATTTCTATAAAAATCTTTTCCGGAAGAACGTAAATCAGATAAATTCTGGGAATTTTGGGAAGATCAAAGTCTTCTTTGGGGAACTGGCCAATATTTAGACGTTATATGTCAGAACACATCAGTGATGGGCCGGTGGATATCAGTTCATGATTCAGCGTGTGACTGGAGCATTGACCCATATTCGAGCACCGCGGGACACTTGGCAAACGCCACAGTTTAAAATACGATCAGCCATAGTGTCGTTGGGTGGAACGAGCCACGGTCCGCCAGTGTAGGGTTACACTAAATTTGTTTCATGATCTGGTGATAAAATAGGTATACCTAACGTACCTATTTCTATAAATTCATCCATGGAACGTTCTGGGGTACATTTTGCGGCACATGTCTGGTACTCCGTATTAGCATCCCAGTTTATTTTAAAGAATATACCTTTAAATTGTTATTTTATGCATTATATAACAAATGAGTGTAACTGTGAGATGTGAGCATACAACACTATAATAGTTGCCAACATTAAAATTTTCCGTTGTACATAAATTCACATTAATTGGTCACCAGTACCGCCATATTGTTTCTTGAAATAATTCATGTTAATGGAATTCTGCATGCAGAATGAATTTGTTCCACGTACAATTCAAAATAATTATTCTTTTTCTATTATTTAAACAAATTCATTGTCATCCTATTACTCATATTTGCTAAATGTCTTATTACTATAATGTATTGCCTTTTTACAACAAATTTTGGCGAAGACAAATTGTTTTGTAGTCATTTTATTTAATCAAGAAATTACTTCGCTAACATTAAACTTCTTTCTTTTATATTAACAACTAGTCTAGACCCGATAATGGAGTTAACGTTGTATTTTGACAGTTGCAAGCGTATAAGACGCCATGTTGGTTTCTTGGCTTTAGAACACACTAGTGTAAATAGTGGGAGTAGTGTGACAATAAAAAAAATTACGAGTCAAATATTTATCGGACGTCTGAGTACTCAAGGTCACTTCAAAAAATTAATAATGATTTGCTTGTGAGGATATAACACTCTTGACCATACTTAGAATAGTCAGTGTAGCGACAGTCGGTCTACAACGAGTAATAAGTTACAAAGTAAATTCATCATCACCTGAATTTCTTTAAATTACTTTTTAATAAGTATAATTACTTTAGTTGTATTAAAAAGCGGTACAATGAAACTCATGTTCCACTTTCTCTGCTTACATATTAAGCCACAAGCCACACATTAGGAACATGTTTCACTTTCGCGAAAATTAACGCAATACGAACTATTAAATTATATTTATACTTAGTAGCATCACCGTGTAAGGCTTAAATTTTTACGGTTAGAAAAAAAATGGACTATCATATACTTAATCATGCGACACATAAAAATTCTGATTCAGTGGGCTAAATTGGCTTTTAAATCTCGACTTCAGGCAAAAAACGTTCTCCAGTGACAAAAAGTCTGTACTCCTAACCAAATTGTTTGTTCCATATGTGTACATACATCAGTACAAAATACACGACAGAGGCCAAATAGTAACAATCCGGAACCCATTATCTGTAATTTACGTCTATTATAATGAATTTGCAATCATCCCATAGAAATCATTTGATTGAACAGGGCCTCGGCATGCGAAATGAAATTGCTTGCGCACTTTTATGGTACAGTCGATTGTGAAATAGAGGCAGATAACATACAATTATATGCCAACTTTCTCGACGTCTCTTTATAATTTGCAATCATAAAAAAACTTCCCACAAAAAATACTCGAACGAGAGTAATGACAGGTTAAGTGTAAATTTCTAAATGTCAAATTAGCAATTCAGTTTAAAATGTCGACATAATTAACTGTTAGTCAACCTAAAAGTCTGTGTACCTATTAATTAAGACTAACACGGCTTGTTTACATTTGTCCAGCTAACGAGGAATAGCACCTTTCTCTTCAAACAATAACACAGCGATGCTGAAGAAAATTATTTAGAAAGGCATCTTCTGTTGTTTTAGTGTATTTCTGCAAATCAGTTGCAGTCGGTCTCTCGAAAGCGAATATTAACGGCCGTCACATATTCTGTTTATTACATGTACCTCTATACATACGAATTTCAGTAAAAGTAAAAGTTTTAGAGATTTTATGAAAACATCGCATTCACTAACAATGTACATACGTGCTTTATGTTTAAGCGTATACTCTGGTTACTGCTTTACTCTTTTGATTTTACTTTATTTTACTAAACATCTCTCTTCTGTTTGTTTCAGTGTCAACATTTCTACCCCAAACATTATGATTTACAAATGGATATTATGATAAGAGTGAAGTGCTGTCAAGAAACTAAAAACCCAAAGTGACGAAGTGCCCTGTAGGTGTCTGTTGTGCTACCGTTCCGTTGCCTTCCCCTTACCCATTTAGTATTCAAAATGTCTGACAAGACCTCGTCGTCGGTCGGCCCGCGGAGTTTCGAAACGATTTCTGAGGAGGACCTCACCGCGTCGCCTTGGGAGAAACTGTTGGGAGAGGTGAACACTGCTGTTCCTACGATAATAAAGACTAATGTGTCGAGTACAACAATCTCTAGAAGCGGTGAGGAGGTGTCCAAGAACCCTCAAGCCGAGGATCTGGAGGCGAACAAGTTGACGCGATCCAAGAGCCTTAATCAGCGAAGAAATAGCAGCGGCCTCCTCAGCACGTTCCCTCGGCAGCTGAGACTCTCACTGCGAGGAGTTCGGAGCGAACCTTCAAGTGTCAAAGATGTGCCTACGACCAGGAATGACAGCTCTCTCAACCTCCTTCTTAGGTGAGTTGTAGTATTTAATATATTGAAAGATCTTTCAAGTAAAAATAATAATAACGTATTTTTTATGCCATTTCGGATTATTATTATTCAAGGTTTAAGGAAAGGGCGCCTGTTGCCGATTGACGTCTATTCAATAAATTAACTAAGTAGGTTCCTTTTAAATGTTATAAAACTGACACGTTACCACAATGTGATATGGTTGACTCTTAATAAAGACAGGAAATCATCATGTAACCTGACCCGCTGATCCACTATGTTTTCCATGACACGACTACATTTTCATTTATGTACCACGGCTATAATATTATTACCTAGTGGAATATAATAGATATCACTTACTAGGAGTTATAAATAATGAAATAATAATTATTTTATTAGAATAGCATAGCCTCATAGACTAGGTACATATAAAATTATCATTGAGAAACGATCACACGCGTGACCCTTGCTATGTCGTGCCCTTGCAACTGCAGTTTGTAATTTATCGTCACGTGCCATTGGACTTCATGAAGGAATTTTCATTAGAAAATACATGTCAGGTCAAGAACAAATAGCATTAAATGAGCAAGACATCTAACTCCGTAATAATATTCTACATCGGAGCCATCACAATAACCATCAAGAAGAACTTCTCTATACTGTAATTACAACCTTCATGGTCTGAAATACGTGAGGCTTCGCGCTGATTAGTTTTACAGATGCGACTTGACCTACTGTCTGTTGCGCTATTTTAAGGATAATTGATTAGCTGAGACAATGTCAGGGCTTAATTACCGTAGCAAATAAAGGTCTTTTGTTATTGATTAGCTATATGCAGATGAAAATCAAGAGAGACATCAAAGAAATAATTTCTCAAATATCAACTAGAGACATTATTCCTCACTCGTAGAACCTGTCAATATAACAACAGGCTATCAATAAATCTACATCGGCCACGTTTAAAATTACGAGGCTATAAAACACTGTGTAATTTGATAGTTTTATTTATGTGCAAGCGAATAATGAAACGTCATAAAAGTCAGGAATGGGTCTTCCGTTTTTAAATGATCATCAATTCCTAATAAAAAGATTTTTACCGATAACTTTCTCGTATGCAAAACTGCAAAGGAAGCGGACGTCCTTATTTAAATACGAATTGCAGGAAACAAGGCGCCCGAGGTAGACAGCCAGCCTAAAACAATGCGTCTTGTTCACAATGATAGACTGAATGATTGGAAGTAGCAATTCAGGGCCATCCGTCAGCGCAATCCGTGTCCTCTTATTTTTATCTCCTTGTCACTAGTTGTGAATACAAATGACTTTTCAATTGATTTGGACTCGTCACCGTCGGATACAAGGGAATAATTGTATTAACACACGCAATACGTGAGGGCCATTTTGGAATTGGTATATTAGGCAGATGGCTGAGATTTATGACTGACATGTGTAGTTATTTGCCATTATAGCTATTGGTGTTCGACCACCCAGTCTGGAATGGAATGTTAAATGATATGGACTTATAATTATTTAAATATTAAGGAAATCTAGGTATAATTTTTATTAAGCCTGCTCATAATATTTATCGAGTATGAAGTAATGAACTATAAAATCACTAATAGCTGATATTAATAATCAATAAATTAATCAGAATGCACTATAACAAAGTATTTTGAAAGCCTTCGATATTCGACCATAATTATCTATATTTAGATGATAATATAACCTTAATGGATGGACCACCAAACGCAATTTTAATTTCAAACACCTAAGCTGAGAGTATGTTGATGCTATTACCCGAAAAGAAGGACATGTTTATAAAAATTCCTTGAATTTATCTATGTAGTACGTAATGATGTTCAATATCAAGCTATTCTAAGCAAAACGTGACTCTATGAAAGTAGTTTTCCGTATCAATAAAAACTTGATCGCGAATCACAATAATAGATTTGAACTAAGTAACAGTTTGGAACGGTGCTTTGTGCGTTTTTTTGCCAATATTATAGGTATTTGACTTTTAGGCCACTGCCCCTAGAAGAGACACAAAAAAACTAATTTAACCATATAACTGATAGAGCTACTCTGATATCATATTTATTGGAATCGCTATTCAAGTGATTCCAATAAATATAATTTAAATTTTTAGATAACCAAATTAACTGCTACTCCATTTTGTCTCTATTTAAAGGTCCATAAGTACATACATGTGTATTACTATTATCTTAACACAAAACTAGTTGTGTCTATAACCTACATTCGTGTCGTAAAAAACGACTTACTGAGATGATAAAAGATAATGAGTTTGTTACTGATACAGTTACATTATTTATCAGCGTCAATACGTAACTGTGTTTATCAAATGATAGCTAGGTCATGAACATAAGGTCAATGCCCTAAACTATAAAAAAGAATGAGTTTGATGACATTGATTCAATCAAAGTTACACATTTCTACAAATAGATTATTAACACAGTCATAATGTACTACGGATTGTTTTGTACTCTATTGGAATAAAGCAATTTCGTTCAGATTGCAGCAGTACAATTCTCCTTGCAAATGATTTATAGTTCCGTCCAACATAAATTGTAGCAGTGTGTGCCTATTCACATTTTATTGGCACACTTAAGAAATATAGCACACAGAAAGCTTTGATCCCGAACATTTACTTGGTAAAAAATGCAAATATATTTTTACGTGGTATCAAGGCACCGGTGTACGACGTCGCGAGGCCATTCACATCCTTCGGTCACACTCCGATTGTTGGCCAAATGTGTGGTACGTGTGTTGGTGCCAATATTTGTACTCCAACATTCGGCCCACATCCTGGCAAGCCTTATCACCAGTCGACTCGACCTGGATACGGAGTTCTATGTACATTTCAAATCGTAATATTAGTTTAAGACCGTGGTTTATTCTACTTTAGAAATATGTGAGGGAATGACTTTCAACCAATGAACGTTTGCATATTTTATCACTAACAAATAGGCTGTGGGTCTGTGAGATATTAACAATTTACATTAACACTATTTCACGAAGTAAACCTAGGTATATAGATTTTGAACACTACACTAAAATTCACATTGCCAAACTGATCTAGACTTTCGCTCTCTCTGTTTTTCTTGGACAAAATTTCGAAATATTTTAAAGAGACAGACGGGTTAAAAACAGCTGGTGACGCGTATAATTACGAAACGTTGACGTATCTACCTTAAGTTGTCACCTGTTCAAACAAGGTTATAAGAACCTCTTGGTAACTGTGTTGTTTACAATATTAACATGGACTCTGTAATGCTGCATTTGTGCGAAAATTAAGTGTAAATGAATAACATAACATAACATCACGCCTTTTATCCCCGAAGGGGTAGGCAGAAGTGCACATTATGCCACTGTACAATGTAACACCCACTTTTCGCTATATATGTTGAGTCCCATGTAATAGGGGGTGAGCCTATTGCCACATACCGGGCACATTTCCATACTCAGTGCTACTACTGAGATTTTTTTTAAAAAAAGCCCCGTAACACTTTGCCCGACCCGGGAATCGAACCCAAGACCCCTTGCCCGGTAGTCGCACTTGCGACCACTCGGCCAACGAGGCAGTCATGAGTAAATGAATAACATTGTAGCAAAATAGCTGTAACCTAGGTACAAAGCCGTATAAAATAATGTTTGTTACGTGTCGTTTTGTACTTTTCTAGAAACCGTTTAGTGTTAAGCTGTTTTATTTTCCTTTGAAAGTGGTTAAGATAACGCTAGGAGGAAATGCAACAATATTTAATGGTTTAGATGTCCTTATTGTTAGTTAAACGAAACATACCATACAGTTGTCTAGATGCGGAGATGTATAAGATTTGTGATTAGGATATAATCACTATTCACTAAGGATATAAGGAAATGTCGTGGTGTCCCGGAGGTTTAAGATGCCCGCTTCTCATGCATGAGGGTGGGTTTGAAACCTACCAGCGGCAGATCTAAGATTATTCAGACACCACTGACAAACGGTGAAGGAAAACATCGTGAGGGCACCAGGGCTTATAATTTCTAATTATAAGTTTGTAATCGCCAACCCACATTGAGCAAGCGTGGTGATTAATACTCAAACCTTCTCCGTGTGAGAAGAGCTTTTGCTCAGCAGTGGGCATTTATAGGCTGTTGATGATGAAGGACATAAGTACGTAGGTACAAATTTAAGTAACTACTCGAAGAATCCATAAAGTAACTTGAGTTCCGGCAACAGAAGACTGTAGAGACAACAAACAACCCGTCTAAAGAAGATTTCGCAACACGACCCAATGAAAGTGGTACAGCGTTATTCACAAAGCGTAAAACATCCGACGACACTTGTGACACCGGTACATGCAATAATCGCCAACTTGCCATACAAAATACAAGTAAAATGTAGTGAAAATCGGCTACTGCATTCTCGTTACACCACACCCGGATAATCCCTATGCCAAGAGATTTACATACGGAGGAAATTTTCGCAGTTTTCCTTATCCAGATTAACATTTAACGATAGATCTTCTTAACAAAGTTTCCTTTATTTACACTAGATACACTTAAGCTTATCTATTATATTTTCCTTATGAACTTACGTCAAAAGATCCTTTCAATGTACCTAACAATTATTTCTTAGAATCAGTTTTGCAAGTAGATATAAGTATTAATTTTATTGATGTTTGTTCACACAATGTCTTTATTTATTCTCTGAATGAGGAAGTCAGTTTATTTACCTGTTTTGAATATATCAGTGGATTAAACGGCCATATTGTTAATCAAGGAAAGTCATCCTACGTTAAAGTAAAGGCTTTGACATGCCAACAACCTGAACTGATGAATTTAACTTCAAATGGATCAAAAACCAATTCTAAAAGAAAACATTTACAAATGCTTATGGAAGAGAAATATTGTTTAAGAAGTTATTGAAACCAGTGCTAAAATTAACATCAAGCTAAACATTCGCTCAATCCCAGTTCGTTAAGGTGTGGTTTTATTACAACAACAAACAGGATTAGGAATAATGC